AAAACTATATCGACGACTTCGCTGATCTTGCTTTTGCGGACTTTTTTCCGCGAAAAAAGACTATGTGCGAAGTTTCAGAGTGGCTGCTCAACTGTAAGTATAATTAAGTACCCGAAAACCCTCTTTTCGTTGAGTAAGCCCGATTGGATTCTACCACCATTCGGCTTGCGGAGGTTTCCACCTAGAGAACTGTTGGTCGTACGGAGCCGAAGAAAGTCGCTGTGTAGCCGAGGAACCACCGCCATGATGCAATCACATGAGCATGGGTAGACCGCGGACTCGGGCTCAGCCGCAGCATCGGACCCTAGCGCGATAAGGAATTTCCCACTACGCAGAGGAGTCAAGGTATCATGGACACCACTTATCCGAGGCTCACAGAAACTAGCCCACTGATGAGCATTCCGAAGCCCTGCTTCGGATGCTTAACCGGAATCCATGAGTCAGTCGCCAGATATCTGGAATGATCTCACCGGGGTACTCTGACGCCTCTTCATACCGTCCTCTAAATGGAGCCTCCGCAAGCCGAATGGTGGTAGAATCCAATTATTCAATGAAAGAAGGGTTTTCGGGTACTTAAACATACTTACAGTTGAGCAGCCACTCTGAAACTTCGCACACAGTCTTTTTTCGCGGAAAACAATCCGCAGAAGAAAAATCAGCGATTTTGTCGATATAGTTTTCGATTTACAAAAATCATCATATATCTCCGTCCCGAGTGATCGTTTTTTCGATATGACTAGCGCCTTCGATCGTCGCTCTGCGACCAACCGTTCCGGAGATACAGCTCTCTGAACTTGGTCGCCAAAGCGACTTCCAAAAAAAGGCACATTTCCTGCGAGACCCTTTTTCATCCGCTCGTACCTCAGTTTCACTTATGTCATGCCGATCTCAGACCCCGACGGCAAACCTAACGCGAAACATCAGCTCATCAGCGAATCTTTCGAGAACCACGCGTTCGGATCGCTCACCGCGAGCTGACCGGAGCTTTCTAGCTCGGTAAAGAATATAACGGCTCGATATCACGGTGACTCGATTCAGTTTCGCTTTCTTCCTCACGAAAACCGCAACATTCCTGAGCCCGTCACTCGGATTGTTCCGAGGGCTGGTCTCTTGAGTTCCTGGGAGGATTTTAGGTGGGCTACTGACTTTCTGGAGCTTTCCGACGAGAACGATTCGAACATCCTTCGGTCGATGTGTCTTTTTTCGTCTCAGGTAACCCGAATCGAGACTTGCTCGACTTTCACGATAGCGATCCCTTGAAGCTCCCGACTGCGTGGAATCCTCGGTCCGGGGAGAGTTTCTCTCCTCCGAAATTTACATCGAGGCTCGAGTTTTCAGCCGGCATCATCTAGGGATGGTCTCGACTGCTGGATGCGGCGGTTCCCATCTATACAGACAAGCCTCCAGCTCTCAGCTTAGTCTCGGGGGACGGCCGAGGATCGGTCGACGGAATAGTCTCGTTCAGGTCTCGAGCGGAGAAGGCTAGATGCACTCTTCCGTAGCGTGGAATAAGATCTCAATTCAACACCGCGGATTCCGCGCGGAAAGCTCCTCGCCTATTGTTGGCGGCGATGTGGCCTTGTAGCGGAGCGCGCGCGGCTCTGTGTTTTCTGCGACTGCTGGACAAAGGAAGGGAAACTCGCTCTCGTCATGCCTCTTTGCGAAAGAAAACCTAGGGAGGTTTGTCCTTGCGCGTCTCCGTAGCCCTCCACTTCTGTCTGATGGGGAGAGAACGACGTTTTCCGGTGACATAAAGAGATACTTCCGTCCCTGTAGAATTCAGAGTTTGTTAGCTCGAGCTCGAACGCGTTGTCTCGAACTTTTCGGAATCCCCGCAGATCATTCCGAAAGTTCTCCCTAGTACGGAGAATGCAACGCTTCAACCCATCCGCGAGGTAAATCCCTCCAGTGGGAACCTCGAGCATCAGGAGATGCATTATCGAAGAGTGTTGTGAAACCCTGGTACTTGTACCGTTGAGATATCCGTCTGATCCTGCTGGGACCATCATTGTACAAATAAGTCCGCTTAGAAATCAAACGGAAACGGGGCTGTACGACGCGTATGACTCGAACGGCGGATCTAACGAAATTTCACTATTACTTTCACGAATATGTGCGCACGCTCGATGGACAAACAAGTCGGGTGGTTCTAGGAACGCGAAGACGTGACGGCTTCCTATCATTCCAGATAATGACTCACTGATTTCGTAAAATTCTGACGTGCCGATCTTGATGTGACCTTAACCTAGCGATCCATCTATTCCAGCCGCCAACTTCGTGCTTGACTCACTCTTAACTTGCCGGAGCATCTGTCGCTCATATACGATGTGTGAGTTCCGAGTCCATATCGAAACTCAATTTTCTCGACCAAGGCTCAATACGGAATGAGTAGATTCTGAAAGATTGCTCTCCCCGGCGATTCATTTCCGCTGCGAAAGCGAATGCCGAACCGACCGCGTTTCGTCCTTCCGTGGCCGTAATATATGTCGGCGAGCTTATTGCGATCAAACCACGACAAGGCGCAAGAGTCCCGTTTTGTCCGGATGAACGTCTGACGGAACGGGCTGGACCTGGACAATGTTCCGCATTCGAGTTTTCTGCTCTCCTCCGCAACAAGAGCAGCGCCTATCTGCTCCATCCGCGATGGCGATACGAAGGCGAGATGGAACCTTCCTGCTACCACTCTCGAATGCTTTAGCTCGAAGCTGGATGCGCATCCAAAACGGCGTCAAGGTCAAGGATGACATTGAGATCCATTCTTTAATTCAGAGGTTAGGAGCGTTTGCCGCTCGGATAGATCGCAGAAAATAGAAAAACAATCACACCCGGAGAGCTCCGTCCAGGGAATGTTTCCATTCGATAGTTCTGTGTCCACCGAGCTGAAACCCCGGATACCATCGTTTTCTTTCGGAGCATAGATTCCCTCCAGCAAAAAATGAATAGCGTTCGGAAACGACAACTCCTTCTCGGGAGGGGGATTCGATCTGTTGACGTTTCGAAATGCTGATCATTGCAAGATGAATTGAGTCTCTCTTTTTTGGCAAAAACTCCATAGAATTGGGAAAATCCTACTCGGACAATGTTCCGATGAGCTCCATCTCATCGGATATGTTTCATAATGTGAGATTGAATCATCGCAAGCTGCTTTCCACTTCTCGCTGGTCGCGGGCGAGCAATAAATCGAGAAGTGATTTATGAAACACCTTCAGAGAAGTCCTCTCTTAACAGACCCGTTGCTGCGAAGACGATAACCGCAAAGAGGCATCGAGTAGGCGTTGACTCTGATTCTGTGCCGAGCCTCGCCATCCACCTTGTGTTCGACTTACGACTTTGGAGAGGGGGCAATGAAAGTGGCCTCATTGTCCACTCCGATTATTGAATTGTTTGACATGCGTCTTTGCTGAGAAGCCAGAGCATTCCATCAAGGAATCGGGAGCACTGCAATGAGTAGCCCATCTGATTCTCCCCGAGATTGGATTTCAGATTATTCTGTTTTCGGAAGGAACTTATTTCAAATTATCCTGGCAATCCGATGCCTTTCCGGCTTTCGGCCCAAGACCTCCTTTGGGGACGTGAATTCAGAAGTTGGTAACTTTGTTAGCTGATCGACACATCACTTTGAAGTTCCTCACTCCAAAGCGGAGCAATTCAACTTGTGCTTGTTCCGTGAAGAGGTATATCCTAGCCGGAAGCGGGAGGTTACCTCGGGTGAGAGTGCGGCTCTCACAGCACTGCAAAGAGATATTCGATTAGAGCATCAGATTCGATAACTCAACGAGAGCACAGGGAGGCACTATAAAATCACTTGACCGGAGGAAAATCCACCGAATCTCATGTCGAGTAGAAACGGCAATGCAAAAACATCCGGGCAATCCAGAGACCTCGTAGGGGGATCTCCAACAAGAAGCCGATCCCGATTCTTGCAAGCTCTGTTAGATCTCCGAGTGAACATCAGACAGCCTTGAGCCAAGTCGGTGTGTTAATTCTATCCAAAGCTGCCTTATTTCCTGCAGGGAACGAACAACAGAATATCCAGCCGCATTGCATTTCATCCGTCAAAGGCCAGGAACTCTGCTGGGGTACATAAGCGTCCCTGAAGTCCTGGGGAGACAAACTCGCTGAGGCAATATCAAACAGGGAGGAAATTCGCGTAGGTACAGATCACGGATAATTATCATAGAAACCCCTCGAGTTTGAATCTGGCACCACGGCTCGGGGGAGATGATCAACGAATGAGCTCAAAAAAGCTCAGAAGCACCCGGGTTCGATTCCGAGCAAGACGATTGCGGAGTCGCGGGGCAAGGTTCTCCCGGGATCATATCGCGATTTCGCATGATCGAACAGATTCCGAAGGATCGCTTGAGCTCACCGGCGAGACTCTGGGAGGGTTTTTCGCATAGAATGAACTGGATTGTCGAAGCGTAGATCCGAATACTCGGAATTAACGTATCACAAACAGGCAGCTCCACTCGGAACTGACGTGATCGCAGATGCGATTGAATGTCTTTCAATCGGAAGTCATTTTCCTCGATGTTCTGCTGTCTCGGCGCTAATACAATGTGCCATCAATCATCACTGTTGTGACGACTCCAGCAATGTGTTCGGGAGTCGACGCCAATGCACAGAGAAGCTCAATGGAGCCACGAATTAAGAGAGAAGAATTTCGATGATTTCGAGGCCTCCTTCGCATCTCTCGTAGCTCCAGGAGGGCGAGAGGGGATTTCCATAAAGAAGGATCGGCGCAAGCCTGACATATTCACGTAAGATTACAACTCTGGCGTACTTCTGGATCACAGTGTTCTCTCCGAAGCTCGAGGAAAAATCGGGAGCGTGGGATAGTCCCTCAAGAAGGATATCGAAAGTAGTTTTCTCTCTTCTATTGACGGTGAAGACCTTGCTCCGCTTGCCTCACGCTCCTCAGAAACATCCCTCCCTTTCTGCAGCATCCCGACCAACAGTCGGCTCTATAAAACGTCGACGCTACCCGCGCCGTCTTCCCCGCCACCGGTTGCGACGTTGGAGCGGACCCCGATCCGGACATATCGGCTAAAAGACGGCGCAGAGCATCGCCCAGTGAATACCCGACCGCAAATTTGACAAGGGTGCGTGTGTGAGTTCGTTCGCTCGTTCTTCCGTCGGTCCGCTGTGGGCATCGGAGCAAGTGTAGCCCATCGCCTCAGGTTATTTGATTATTCTTGTCGGTCGCCGACTGGCTCGCTCGCTCGCTAGCTGGTAGGCTCGATTGGTTATTTTTCTTGCCTGATACGAATCTGCGTCATTATCACTGCAGCCTTCGTGGCTGCCATCATCAAGCTGCAACCGGTGGAAGTTCCACTGGTGACTTGTCGTCGTGGAGCAGGTGTTGAGCGGGCAACGTATGACGTCCGAAGGCCCGTGCACAGTGAGCAGGGCTGCAAACGTGCGAAGGAACGCCAGGGAGAGGAGCGTTAGTCTTTGGCGAATCTCCGTCGTGCAGACATGACTACGAGTGATTTACGCCGTGTAGGCTCACTTCATTCATCAGTCAGGACGGCTCTGGAAGCTCACACCTGGAGCTGCTCCTCGTTGAGTCGTCCATCCGTCCTTCGAGTCATCTATCCATCGTTCCCGCCTGTCCGGTGTGGGTAGCGGCAAATTCATGGGTTCTCCTGTTCCCGCATAGTTGCGGCCCTAATCTACGGGGAGTTCTCGACGAGCTTCCTAGTTGCGTCCTAAGCTCAGGCTCCCTCGTCGGAGCGAGGGAGTGCTCAAGCCTCGTGCAGCGGATCCTCGAAGTGGAAGCTCGAAGAGACTCTCGTCCACAAACAGAGGGCATTTTCCGTGGTCTCAGCAAGGTTCGGAACAATGTCGATCGTAGGGACGGCCGTTAGGCGCTGTGGATCAGAAGAACTCCGCCAGGAGAAAATTCGGGAGCCCCTGAAGAGATATCAGACTTCGATGCGGAGTGAAACGCCGAACCACTAGCATTGTGCTCCGGATTCATCGGGTACAACGATGTTTCTGTAGCACCTTGCTAATGGTGCTTATCGCGGGCGAGTTAGAAAACAGACAACAAGAAACTCCCGGTGCGTGAGGCGCGATGCCGCTCTGGTGGAGAATACTAGAAGAAAACTGGCTAAAAAATATATATAAACTAGACACGTCCGTTGGCCACACGCGGAAGACATCAGACTTCCAGCTGTTGTCGGCGCCACGCGGAGCGGTTGAAACAAATCTTTGGCGAGAGGATTACAAAACCGACGGTTCGGGTTTTCGCGGCAGCATCAGCAGAACCGACAACACCACCACCACCGACAACAACAACGACTGAATGGTGCCTTCGTTAGACGCAACTTGTCCAGCAGACGCCTTGCGAATCTCCGTGCGGGATCCGAGAACATCGATCCACGATGCTGTCCGAGTACAGCCAGAATTATTATGGAGAGAGCGGGCGACGCTCCTATTCTCGGGGAGTCGGGACCGATGTTAAGAGCCTCGCGGGCAAGTCCCGAACCGTTTCGAGACTCTGAAAACAGAAGACTCCCGATTCTGGAGACTTTGGATGGTGAAATCTCGAGATAACTCCGGCTTCGAGAGATTCGAATACTTGACCAGCAATCGATTGCGGTCCAGAATCGGTACATTGAGCGGGAAAGCCTCGCAGAAGGATTTCGCAAGTTTTTTTTCCGGATCGCGCACTGAAGACTAACGCTAGCTGAGAGCGAAAGTTTGGCCATCCGAAACGGTTCTCAACGAGACGACTGCCACCAGGTGATGACCCGACCTTTCGTTTCACGTAATTAAGCTCACCGTCAGAGCGCTCGAGGCTGAACCGATTTATGGTATTGGATGATGGATTCGTTGAGCCCATGAATACATTGAACTCCTCCACTAAGAATCCAACGCCAGGTAGACAGACGCTTCCGGGCCGCAGTAATTCCTAACAGTGTGACGTAGGTGTTGATCCATCAGAGCCATTCAATTTTTTTCCGAGCAACAGGCTCCTCCGGTGCTTGGCTGGTCGAAGTCGTGTGGGAGAAAGACTCCAATCATTCTATTCGAATTTCGGATTCTCGAGACCGAGAAGGAGATCGGTGGCCTCTGTATGCAATCGAAAGCATGATTGAAACTGACAGGGCCCGGAAAAAGTAATTTTCCTGAACGACTCGAATCTCTTGCAGGACGATGCGGGTTTCCCTCGCAGTTCTCGTGCTACTCGTGGGGCTGGTCGGACTTTCCGTTCAACAGAGAGGTGAGTGGATATTTTCCGTTCGCTAGAATTTTTCTGTAGCGCTTTTTTAATCGCTTGATTCGACCTTCCTGGATTTGATCCTGACCTCGCTCGGTTCTCGAATGAGATTTTCCTGCTGGGGATACTCTTGATTACTGCCTGTCTCAAGCCTCCAGAGGGAGCTCGATCTGCATGGGCTTCAATCGCATACTAGATCTCTGTGAGCGCAGGGAGAGACTGTACCGCATTTCCGGAGAGAACGATACGAATAGTACGTACATAGCATTTTATCGAATGGAAAATGCGCCTTCGGTCGGAGGACTTCTGCGGAGCCAGCGGAAGATCCACTCTGGTTGAGAACTTGAGAGTGGCTCTCGTAGGAGAGTCATGAGGATTCGTCATTGAAGCGCGAGTCGTTAAGGAGCGATCGATGGTCCCGTGACCAGGACAGCGATGATGGAGCGATCCGATGGTTGAGGAGAGAAATACGTTTCGCTCGCCGAAGACCAGCGCTTAATCAAATGTCGTGGAGGCCCCGGTACGAGGACGCGATCGAGCGCGAAACATGACTGCTTTCGCATTATCAGTCGTGGAATAATGATCTCCGACGACCCTCGAAACGAACGAAGTCTTCCCGCCACAACGATGGAAAGAATTATTGATTATTCGTGGTAGGCGAGCCATCGAATGCGAAGTGGTTCAAGGTTGTTCAGTAGATCCAACTGCCCGGATATGACATTCAGGTGATTCTCGCAAAAAGCGGTGCGCTGACCACGAAACCGTGCCCAGCAATGTTTCAAAATCATGACGCGTTCCAAGTGCACAGGTACCTACTAGTATGCTGTCCAAAAAATATCCAACAATATATTCCGATGAGCAAGATTTTCGTCTTCACGATAAGGAGCCTCGACAGCATCAGTGTCTTCTTGTCATCCTTCCTGCCGTTGTAACGCACGCCTTTTTTATGGCGCTTCATCGAAGCCGAGCCGGTTCAGATAACGGAACCGGTCGCGGTTGAGCATAGTCGAAGACTTCTCCCTCCAGACAGCGATTCCCGACATTTTCGAGCGTTCGATTTTGACAAATATTCGGAGAGGCCGGCGATCGTTCAGATCTATGTAATTTGGAGGAGAGATTATCCACTGACTGGAAACCTGGAGTATGGACTCTCCTCTGGGACTCTGAATTTTCCGAGGGGAGGGGCAAGAATATTCCACTCATAGTTATCATTGGAATATTTCAGTCCCGCCACGGCGCCGAAAAAACGCGGCAGAAATCCGTTGCTGCTGCGGCGACTCTTGTAATGTGTATACCACTAAATGAGGCAATAGCACTGATTGTTCGCGGATGTCAAGCGACCTGTGCGGCGCCACCCCGTGCGGGGCGGGGACCGTCCCAAACACGAGAAGCCGACCCGACTGCACCGGAAAGCTGATTTGCGGTCGATTCTCCATGTGTTCAGTTTTTCTCGAAATGCGGTTTAGCGCGCAGCTTGACGACTTTTCCCTGACGGATTGACGAAAGTCGCTTGACGAGAGCGACTTGACGAAAGTCGATGCTTCGACACAATCGAGACGACGGCGACCGGGTGTGCCTTCCTGATGTTGGCACGTCCTCTCAAGTGGGTGGACAAAGGCGAACACAAAAACTAAACCGAGCCGTTGTCTGTACGTCTGCCCGTGGGATTGAATGAATCGTACTCTCCCACATCCCGGAGGCTACCTATCTCTCCCTGCCTCTTCTTACTAATGACTTTTCTCGGCAGGTGGAGGACGACGTCAACCGGCGTCCCGACAACCGGATAGCGCTGCGAAGCCTTCGAGACAGAGCGCTGCTGATGACTCCGATGGGGACGATAACAGCGGAGACGACGAAGGATTCGAATGCCCCAAACCTGACGGTCTATACGCCGACCCGGAAAACTGTAGACGCTTCTACATCTGTGCTGGGAACCATCCCTACTCGAACGCGTGTCCGCCTTCGCTGTACTTCGACGATGTTCGGAAATTCTGCACTTTCAAAGATTCCGAACTCAAGTGCGGCCCAGTTGAGGAATGTGAGTTCCCGGCTCGCCCCGCATTTCTTTCGCAAGCGAATCCGAAATTGAAATCGAAGACTAATGATATTCGCGGGAGCACGTTCAGCGGAAGCAGCATCTGATCGGGAATTCCAAGGATAAGGAGTCTCACTGCTTGAACTTCCAGCCGAAACCGAAGCTCCCATTGAAGATTCCGGGCCGAAGGCGACGAAATGCGACACCGCGAAGTGTATCCTCCCAGACTGCTTCTGTTCCCCCGACGGAACTCTGATCCCTGGAGAATTGGAGCCGAAAGAGACTCCGCAGATGATAGTGATGTCGTTCGATGGAGCCCTCAACGGAATGAACTACGCTCAGTACAAGTGCGTGTCCTGTGCCATTAGTTACCTCCTCAGATATTCTCGACAAGGAGCAAAGTTCGGAGGAGAGTGTACATTTCTAGATAGGCGAAGCGCAGTTCGAGAGAGACTTCACCCGAACTCGATAATCTCGTCTACGTAATGATTCTTTTCGGTCGGGGTCCTCTCGTTGATTCGCATGAGCCAGCTCGCGAGACGGTTTTCGTACGATTTTTTTATTGCCGAGGGAGTGAGCAAGAATCCGGGACCTGAGGATGAGAAGGTAAACTTCGATAATTGATTGGTGGCGAGTTTGACAAAGCACGTGGGAGAATGCAGTTTCGAGCTCCCACACGATGAATCATCGACAATCGATCATCGCGTCCTCCAGGACTTTTGCAAACTTTGTAGTATCATCCCCCGAATGCACCTTGAGACGCTCTTCAGCGAAGCGAGCTATGTGTCCGGAAAGGGCAACCTCCAGTTTTTTCTTCGGGATTTTTTATAAAATTGAAAAAAGACTTCAGAATTCTGCCGGGGGATATCGGAACACGCTACAGCAGGAAAATGAGCGAGGGCTTCGTCAGATATCCGGAGGAAAGAGACGGTCAGCGGCGAGACTGACGTCGTTCCATTGCAGGACTTTGTTGAGCAAGGACAACCGCAAGAATCCCAATGGCTGTCCCATCCACGCAACGTTCTTCCTCAGTCACGAATACACGAGTTACTTCTATGTGCAGAAAATGTATGCCGATGGTCACGAAATGGGTTCCCTCTCGGTCAGGTGAGTTCAAAACTGGAGATCCCTGCCATGTCTCGCAGCGAAACGGAAGGATCTCACTGACTAAAGAGTTGCTTTGACCGAGCGTCCTCGTCAGCGAAGTCTCAGGAGGACGCTCCGAGATCGTTGTGGTGATGACGCTCTCTAGTCGGATGAGTCCCTGATCGTCGTCACTCTGCCGATGGTCGTCCTTCCTACTCTTTTTCGTAGGCTCGTCGATCCGTCTGTTCGACGGATCATAAGGCTGATCATTCACTGAGTCACGAATTCCACTTGCAGTCATCGTCAACCCGAAACATTCTGGCAGAGCGCCAGCTTCGCCAACTGGACTGAGGAGATCGGTGGTCAACGGGAGATCATTTCGAAATTTGGTAACGTCAGCAAGGACGCCATTCTTGGCTTCCGTGCACCTTTCATCAAGCCTGGAGGGAACAATATGATGAACATGGCCTATGAAAATGGCTTCGCGTACGATTCCTCTTACGCCGTACCCACATCGCACATACCCACGTGGCCGTACACGCTCGATCATCTCCCTCCTCATAGGTGAGGCGAACGATTCGGTGCGATGCATCGGTCTATATTTCAGGAGATGCGCAGCGAATTTCTCCGAGCTCGCTTATTCATGACAGTCAACGTCCGAGCCTATCCGAGGCGTGCGACTCGCGTCGGAGTAGCCGAATCCGCAGATTTCAGAAGCAAAAGCTGCTTACTACGCGGAAAACGAAACATGCGTAGAACGTTGAGATTTTCGAGAGCTTCCATTCCGAATGCCACCGTCGAGCGCGGAACGTTCTGCAGAAACGCGAGACGGAATTCGGAAACGGGGTTCTGCGTGACGCTGTCGTAATGTAAGGAGGGAGAGAACCCGAATGAAAAATTCAGAATTTATGCGTGACCTGATTCGTGGAGTTGAGAGCTCTTCTCTGCGACACGTACCATAACATGCAATCAGATACAAGCCAGCGGCGGATGGGAAATCCAATGTATCCTTGCGGGAAATGACGGAGCGAATCCGCGCTCTCCATGGTCACGGATTTACATTCGAATGCGCCTCAGAAGAGAAACAACTCACCTTTCCGCTCCCAGTCTGGGAAATCTCGGCCCAAGAATAGTCTCTGTCTTCCGAATATCCCTTCCCCCCGTATCAGGAGCACGCTCCGTAAGGAGAGATAAATATTCGCGCTGCGCCATACGCGAGCTCGAATCGATACAGAAAACGTAACTCACGGCCCTTCATCTCAATGAGGGATTGCATCGGGAATACGCGGAGGGATGAGGGACTTCGACTTCGAGAAAAGAGTCACCGAGGTCGATCGAATCTACTCTATGGACGACGAAACTTTGATCTCAGCGGGGAAACAAACCGACGTAACGGATCCAGTACTGAATCGAACATGCATATATAAGACCCCGCGGGACACAGTACAGCGGTAAAGAGAGTCGTTGACGTCCGTCAGATCCCTCAAGGGGGAGGACAAACTGCGATTCTTGCTTTATCGAGACGACATTTTCGAGGTCGAGAGGCGAGCTCGAGTCGTTTGTTTGTAAGAGATATCGCTCCAAAAAGGAGGTCTGTGCTTCTCGACTAGCCTGCAGCGAGCCAGCGAGTGGCCTCATTCTTCTCGTCTGCGAGGAGGAGCGACCCATGTGCAAAGCGAGCGACCCGAACTCGATCAACGAGACTCGTAGACGATCTTCCGGGGCGTCCTCGCACTTTTTCTCCTCGAATTCTTCGCTTCCAGCCGATGTCTCCCCAAATCGCGTTATCGCGGGAGCAGATGAGGTGGACTAAATTTCTTCGAATGGAATTATTCAGATTGCTCAATCGCTGTCCTCTTTCAAGGTGCTTGAACGGCAAGTGTGCCACGAGAGCTTTCCCCGGGCTTTGGGAAATGCCTTTGAACACTCTCCACACCGAGGAAGGAGTTGGCGGTCACTGCGTGCTGGCCGATCAATGTGTTTTCCCATCGGACGACGCGGAAGAGGTGTTCGAGTTCCTCAAGGAGAACTTCTTCAGGTACCGAGTATTTAGATACCTCTTTCATGTACATAGGTAGACCAGCGGTGACTTCTCAGTCACCACACTCTACACGAGACATCCTCGCTGCTTCGCCTTGCCTATATAGCTCGTGATCGAACAATGGGACATCAGGTAGTTTGTGCTGCCGTTCCATCTGCATTATCCTTCCTAAATCGATCCCGAGCATATCGGTGGATCTTCAAAAAATCGGTCGTGGAACCATCATTCGGGTACGAGAATGTGATCCTGCATTATCCCTCCAATTCTGACGCGACCCGGAGCAGTCTTCGACGAATTCCCGCAGAACTTCCCCAGATCAACAGAAGTCGACCCCAAAACACACGAGCCGCGGCCGACCCCGTCGCTGAGCTCGAATTTTGCTCGACTTGCGTCCGATGTCGTCCGGAACACCTGTAGGGCGCGAGACGCGCTCTTCAGACCGCCCCTCGCGTTCCCCTCATGACGCTAACGTTCCCTCGCTTCTGTCTTTCAGACACTATAACAGCAACCGCGCGCCGTTGGGGCTCTTCTTCCACGTCAATTGGTTCACCGATAAGACAAAAGTCAAGGCGGTGGCGAAATTCGTTGATTACATCATCGACAACCATAACGACGCCTACTTCGTCACTATGCAGCAGGCGCTTCTGTGGATGAGAACACCGAAGAAGGTGCGTACATAAGCCCAGAGACCGAGCCCAACCTCTAATGGTTGTCTTCCTCTCCATCCGCGACTACGTTCGACGTAGCGTATTCGGCGTGGTCTCGCTGAGACGCATGTACATCATTACTCAATACGATGACCAGCTTCCGAACAGATGGCAGAACGTCCGGAAGCTCTCCGTGCCGGGATTACGAGAGCCATCCGGGAGCGAGTGTCACGTGCGAGGGCTGCCCCGATGAAGGGGAGCCACTGGAACGACGGAGTCACAAAAGCGAGCAACCGAGCAAATATGTACTCAGAAACGCTTGAGGGTCTCTGGCACGATTCGTTGGACAGTCGCTCTGGTGGGAGAACAAACAACAGATTGTTTTGCGGTGACCTCCACCAGGTAGAGCCAGCTTGTGTGAATAAGGGAGCACAGCTGATCGCTGATCAAAAAGAAAAACATGCGCATCCGCCCAGCTGAGGCTTTCGCAATTCTGCGGGAGGAAGCAAGAGTCGAGGCCAGTCGTTCGTCTGCTCAATGACTGTCTTCAGGACCATCTACACCTGTGAATAGATGTAGAGCGGGATTGTGGTTCGCTAGGAACGATCGAAAGGCATTCCTACCTTCAATCAGAAATTTTGTTTAGACTTACAGGCAGCGGTCAGATTCGCTTGATTGTCCCCGAGATGATTCGATAGTTTCTGAGCTCTTCGGAGCGGATGGAGGAAAGAAAAATACCGTCCCCTCCTCCCGACCCCCGAAGTAAAGTGAGCTTCTCTTTCCAGATCAACGAGCTCCGCGATTTCGCTCCCTGGCAGTGCGAGAAGAGGACGCCCGCCTGCAACATCGCGACAACGTGTGCTGTTCCGTTCGAATCTCGCAGAGGAGAGCTCAGGTGAGTTCCGTGTTTCGCATTCAGGATAAATTCACCCGCAGAGTGTCGAGAACAATCGAGCCTTCCGACATGTGAAGCTCCTGGAATTCCCGAACTGTCCAACGGCTTTCCGGAAGAATACGTTTCAATGGAAAGGAGCGAGTCGATCCTTGGTGCTAACACAGAGCTTCCTCGCTTCCTCCAATCGGCTCAGACGTTTTTGTTGGTCCAGTCTCCCCCTCGAAGTTATTGCTGTTTGCCGAAATTCTTTCGTTGGGGCTTACGACTATCGTTCAAACTCTAATCTTCACTGGACGAAGTCTCATTTTAGCCATGCTAGATCAAACACTCAAAAACTAATGAGGGTGTCCCTCGAGGCTGTGCTCGGGAAGAATCGACGTCGAGAATTTCCGAGAGACCAGACACGATTCGTCGAGTATTCAAGCTGCTTGCTGGGATTTCCCTCGACCATTTCCCGGCTCTGTCACTCGGAATCGATGGATCTCATCGTCGCACATCGGCTCGGATTGGAGAAGGCTTCCTCGTTTGGAGCCCGATCGTAACCGATCAGTCGTGGTCGAGCCACAGGCGTGCTTCCCCATGGTACCGCCCGGGGCAGTCAAGGGAAATTTTCATTTTTCGGACGCGATCAACCAAAATGCCGCCCCCTGTCCGAATATTTTTCGCGGGAAATTTCGGAAATTTTCACAAAAATACCCGCTTTTCTGAATGTCGATCTCGAAAATGCCGTCCCCCGAAAGTGCCGCCCGGGGCGAACCGCCCCCCCCGGAGCACGCTACTGGGTCGAGCGTCTTATTTTTCCCAAGGACTTCAGGCTCGCCCTTGTGTGGCGATTTCACCTAATGTTGTCCCATCCTCCCATCCCATCCTGAATGGCTCAATGGGGTACCCGGACTATTCCTCGGCGACCGAGTGCAGTGGAAACCTCCATGAGCATACCCGACGACCCTTTCCAAACAACTAAGGTCCCCGGAAACTTGTGAAAAACCATCTGCTCTTTGAGGACGGTCATTCGGAGTGTCGAGTACATGAGCGTAACGAGGAAGTGGTCCTACAGGAATCGGAATCGATTCCGCGAATCATACGTCGAGAGGAACAGCCGAAGCTCTTTCGAAAATCCAATTCAGATGTCGAGTTTCTACGCGTAATGACTGCGTACTCCGCCTTTCTCCGACCGGAGATACTGACGCTTGTCTTGCCAGAGTCGCTATGCACAGAATGTATTGGCCGGTCGGCTCCTCCTCTCTCCTGGGTTTTGTTCGGACATCACTGAAGATTCTCCGTCGTTTCTCGCGATTGATCTCCATAGCGACTACTCGGCTTGTAAGGCCCAAACATTGCAAAAGCTCCAATCTTCCTCGAATTAGTACGCCAGGAAAACCGGAATCCCCGAAGATTGGAGCCCTGCCCGGGGAAACTTCACGATGAGCTCATGGCTTCCACCTGCGGGGAGAATGCGCTCTCCGTCAGAGGAGATATCTGGCTCGAGTTCCTCCTCCCGGTCCACCTCAGGCCTCACCGATTTTCTTCGATTGCAGATATATGGAAACCTGCACCGCATGTCCTGTGAAATATCCTTGGCTCGGAAACTACGAGGGAGGCCACGAAGGCAGAAACCTCATCGACATTCTCGAAGAGCAGAAAGAGAAAGACCTCGAAGACGAAGCTTCGGCATCTGCGGGTGGGAGCACGCGGAGGAAGTAGTAGATAGAGCTTTCAGACCACCGCCTCCTCCTTGGCAACCGATGACGGTTATCATCGTACCGCAAGCCACTTCGCTTTTTGTACATTGATCCATTCCATCATGAGGATGACGTTTCATATACACACACCGAGACTTGACGCCTGGAGCAGAGTGGAGGATACTCATCATTGCCATCGATATAAGAATAAATCTGAGACTTTTGTCCGCAATCGCGCAGCCTCTTCAACTCCTGAGTGAAGCCGCTTCTGTTTATCTAGGCCGAACGCCTCGATCAGTGCACAGATCGCGTGACTCCGACATCGGGACTTCTTTCGGAAGTAGATCGACAGCTAAGCCTCTTTGCTCACCTTAAAACCCTCATGGTCGAGTCAGGTCTCCTCACAAAAAGAACCTCCTCGGAGTCCATAATAATTATGCGCAATCGACTGAGCTGCTATTCATTTGAGTGCGCCGACAGGAGACGTCGTTCCGAAAGAAATCCTCCTTCTTCAATCTCGCTTGCTCGAAGACTGGTAGATCAGGAGGTTCTGGGTGTATTGTTCCGAGCTCATCTGCGAGTTTGTCAAAGTGAGACAGCTCACTCTGTCCGCGAGCGCTGGGATTTTTCGGCGCGCGTAGACATCGGAGAACGAGCAAACGGCTGGCTGCTCGTATCGGCGCGCCGCGCCGGTCTGGTGAGTGGGTCTTATGCAAATCGAAAACGGATTCAGAGAAGTTCTCCAGCTCGATCGTCCAAATCACTGGCAGCCGCCAGCCGATCATCTTCGTGGGTCTCGCTCCCATGGTCTCGATTGAGTAACATTTCTCAGCTTCGCGGTTCTTTGGTTCTTTGGTTGCAAGTTCATCCTTATACATACAATATAATATCATCATGAATCCAATCGTTGACACAATAAATATAAATGACTAGCCTGTGAGCCTCTATGAGAATATCCATGGAACCTGCCGAAAAGCCGGCATTCGATTAGGAGCCACAACACTTCGCACACCTCTTTGAGACCTCGCAGCGGAGAATGTATGCCTCGGAATAACGGAGTTGATGACATAATCGGCCCTGAGTCCGAAGACATTCCATGATATCTTTTTCGGACGGTTGTTCTTGAGAATGGACTTCGGCTCTTAAATTACATAATTCGTGATGCGCTGAGGCTGGGGAGCTAGATGATTGAGTGTCGAGGTTGCCGATGCGGCGGGCCTCGAGTCTTCAGCGGTTTGAACTCCACGTGCAAAGTTGCGAGGGATTTCGTGAAAGGAGAGACTGCCGAAACGGAGTTCGCTGGTGCAAATCCGATAGCCAAATACTTGGAATGCCCGCGGAGACCTTCCCGAAAGTTGGCGGCGGCCAAGTTCTTTTCGGGAACCCCACGAGCGACGTTCTCTTCGGGTAAATGGTAGTGAGCGTAACGCGGTAGCTGCGGGCCAGTAAGACTCCTCAGCGGGTCGACAGGGGATCAGATGGAAGGATAGGACTCCCACTCTCGATCGCGGATAGAGAGGGTCAAGATTCGAATCTGTCAGCGGACAGTGCTTCGGATCGAGCGCCCTCCAACATCGTGCCCCCACGACGAGCGTCTCCATTCCCATTTGTACATTGTATGTACGTATGTGCGAGGTGAGGGAAAACCTACGCCGCGTCAGATGGCGAGAATGCATGCGCCTTCCGCGAATGTGCATTGAGCGGTGAATTCGCGAGGTCGACCGACTAGTGTTACGGATAGTGAAATTCTGCATTCGATACCGGAATCCGAAAGTCAGCGGAGAGATTCGCAAAACAAATCGACGGAAACTCTGTTATGAGTCCTCGCTCGTCCTCCGTAGAATTCTCCTCGCTCACAAATTGTTACCTCGCGGTCGGAAGGGATCGAGTGCACTGCTGTCGACAGACTTCTGCGATTTTGGCCGACCTACGGCCGAATTCATTCGTCGGTCAGCCTCAGGCGGACGCACAGACCTTCTAATCACACTCGTCACGGAAATCGGCTCCTAATCAATTCTTTCGCTCGATCGAGAGCTCGGACTCTCAGCAATATTTCTGGCTTCTCGAGGCCTTTTCGTCGAGGGAATTGAGTCCCAAGCTCGTAGGGAAATGCCGGTTCAGCCCTCCTCAATCTCGTAATTAGAAATCTGAGATGCGGACGATCGCACACGGCGCCCGCGCGTTCCACAAGAACTATTCTGATGCTCGATCACGGTGCGTGCAGAGGGTCGATATTTTCATTCATCACGGTCTCAACATCTTCGACCGATGATTTTCCCCCATCCACCCTTTTTTCTCCATGCCCCCTGCCATTGATCGATCCCACGATGCCACGAGGCGACTCCTCGATTCTCCCGTCCGTCAGGAGATTCGAGCGATCGATACGTCCCTTCAGAATATCACGACCTGACACTCACCGCAGTCCAACGCGTACACCCGAAGAGAATTGTAGGAGGGAGAAAGGCTCCGGCTTCGGCGATTTCTTGCGTGAGTCCAGCCCGGGTCTCGACTTCCCAAGCTCGAAAATCTTATTCTGGAGCTTCCATCGCGTTGGAGACCGTCAGATACCGCTTTCCTGCATCAACACACTTTCACGTAGAGCTTCGTCGAGATGCTGGTTGAGCTAGCAGTCACGCGATGTATGAGTGAGTCATGAAGAAACCCACAGACTTTCCGCTCTTTGCTCAGGGGCGAGCATTCCTCGTCCGCGCCCTACGCTATGAGTGAAGAAATCCGAAGTTTCCTCCCGCTCGAGATCATCGCATACATCCCTTGAGGGAGGTTCGAGAGGTTCAAGAGAAGACTGCAAATTCCTCCTCGCTAATCCAAGCTCTGCATTAGAGGTGCTCGACCCAGCACACGTCTTATCTTCTCGAAAACGCATGGTGAATGAGGCTGGTGTTTTCGATGTTTTCGAGGTCTTGAACCCCTCCCTCGAATACATATAATTAACACGACCGCATGACCATCGTGAACATGTCCAAGCCCCATAGCGATCCGGCGATTAGTGTTCTGCGAGGCAAACCCAGAACAGCATGTCCATCGGGAGGGCGCAAGAGGTCCACCGTCCACTAGAAGACCCATTAGAAGCTCTCTCGTTTTTTTTGTCCCCCGCGTCCCGATTCCATTCCTGGGAGAGGCGCGGCCCGAGGAGCCCCGGAATACGGAGGAGAGGGAGGAAAGCGACCATCGACTTCTTCCTCGCGTCAGTTCCCATGTGTTCCGACGGGCAAATCGATTCTCGATGAATCCGCAGCCGAAAAAAAGAATGCAACGCTCCGGCTCTCAACGTCGAGAGAGTTCGATCACGCATAACATACCGCCGCGAGACTACGCCCACCCAGATACACATGTGAACGAACGGTGAAGTGTTTTCCCGCCAGTCCGGGAGGAGAGCGTCTGAGGGAATGACCTCTAATGCATGGTCTCTGCTGAATTCCCACCTCTGTCGGACTGCCTTCGAAGCTCTCGGACCGACGAATATTCTACGGCGCAGCGTAGCCCTGCTCAGTTTGGTGACCCGCTCGAGCCGAGTCTGCGGGGAATTCGCGCAAAGTTTCATTCGGTCAGCCGATCCACCGACTGTCCCTCACTGCTCAGAATTCTTCGTCAAGTCGACTCGATCCGACTTCCCGCTTAAAAAACTCCCAAAAAGCGGCAGCACGAAGGGGAAGCACATTCTCTCTGACAAACCTCAACGACAGCTGTTCATAAAAACTCGAGCGAGTAGGTTACCGCTTCAAGATCCAAGCAAACCTTGGCACTTAATAAGTGAAACACGGAATCGTTCCAAGATCTTGGAAATAAAATTCGGGAGGCATGTTCACGGACTCGCGACGGACGAATCGGACCCTGTGTAGGAAACTAGGCAAGCAGCGAAATTACGCCCAAGTGGTCAGGCGCTGCAGGTGGCGACGCAGGTAGTGCCAACGAATGTTAGAGTGGCTAACATAGAGATCCTCGTCCACTGCTTTTCCCCCTCATAAAAATTTAGAAGCAGACCATTTTTAAGGTTGGACACTGTGCCCGTTCATTGAGGTAAACAGTCAGCCAGCCGGCCGACGACCAACCGGACGTAGCTTAAGCGACCGACCAACGGAGCCTAACCTCCACCTTTATTGAGGTAGCGGTCCTCGGAAGGGAGAGGTCGAAATCGTCGTAAATAGTGAAGAGGCGGCCGCTCTCGAATGGAGAGTTAAGGAAGACGTGAGGGAGGCCGCGATATATGAGAGCGAGAGATAGAGGATTCTCGCGCTAGCGGCTCCACCAACTCAGGCTGAAGTCGAAATGTTGGTTATCGGCAGTTTTCTTACTTGACGTTCTCGGCGAGCTCGTAAACGCTCTCGACGTGAGCGCCGTTGTACTCCTCATGCGCAGAAACGAGGGAGATCTCTCAGACGGCGATCATACGAAGTCAATCCTCGAATCTGATGAAACCTCGAGTCTGAGGAGGAACCCCCAGCTCTTCTAGGAGATTTCCTGATTCGGCTCGTGCTGAGCGTCAAGGGAAAATGATTGTACCCACGTAAATCACAAGCCCAAGCCATATATATATATTTTTCGGGCTGATCCACACAGCCAAGGTTTAATGTCCCGGGTACTGTTATTCACATTGCTTCCGAGGACGGATCCATGGAGCAAATGTACTCAGGAGGATCAAGGCCGAGTACCTGCATATTTTTCCGGCAGCAGGGATTGAACCCACACCGCCTCCCGCGCGAGCGGCGTCGTTGCGGCTATGCGCCAGAAACTCTAGAAGTCGCGGTCGCCCGTTTCCTGGGAGTCATTAAAAACGTCCCCTATGTCGGAACAGCTGCTCCCACAAACCATCGCACGTGTGCTAGACGGACTCGAGATCCGTGGATTTCCCAGCTCCCCCTCATACGCGTGGGACTCAATCTTCGCCAACGGGTTTCGCAAGTGAAGATTGATTAAGTCGGAGGGGATCATACGAGGTAAGCAGCGTAGTCACGGTCCAGAATGATGCTGCATGCAGCCTGCACTCTAGGAGCGTTAACAGTTCGCGACCTATCTGAACTATCAGAGAGAATGAATGAATATATATGAATATACGTC